CACAGGGCACTGACAGCTCACACAGCAATGGGACACACAGGGCACTGACAGCTCACAGCAACGGGGACACACAGGGCACTGACAGCTCACACAGCTCTGGGACACAGAGGGCACTGACAGCTCACAGCAATGGGGACACACAGGGCACTGGGTCTCTTTGGAGACACCAATCCTGCACATCCAGAGTTCCTGAAAACCTTGGAATTTCACCTTAAAACTGCTGTGTGGCTCTGAGCAACAAATATCTCATTGGAAAAATGCAAGAAATGCAATATCAATGTGGAAAATGAACCTTCTACAAAAACCTTTATTTCTCACACTGAACATACACGTTTACTTAACATACTCCTACAAATCGTGGCATTTTTAATTTATCTTTGCCCTTTCTCTAAAATATTCTGCTGTAACTGACTTCTATATGGCCTAATTTAACATTGTCAGGGACCGTTTAAAAATAAAAACATTAATAAAAAGTTAGGACAGAAAATAAATAAATCCGGTAGGAATGAAGCTATACACAAATCAAACACACACAGATATTCTGTGCCTAAAAATGCTACAATCAAGCAATCTAAAATACCAAAAGTGCTTTTGCTGGGGTTTTTATAAGTACTGGAGGTATTTCAAATTGTATTTATCTGTTATGAAAATCGTGTAACAACAGTTAAGAACTTTTCCCTCAATTACTCAACAGGATGTAGTGACTAAAAAGAAAAAAAACATACTAAATATTAAAAAAAGTCTTTTGGGGCAAGCAGCAGCTTCCAGGTGAAATCACTCAAATGAGCTGGTTTTCTAAAATTTTATAGTAGAACCTCACTTAGTATTCCCATAAACTGAAATTTAGAATGGAGATAAAATCAAATTTATTTTCACAGGTTGCCCAGTATTTCTAATGCATTTCCAGCATTTTTTTCCTGCACTGAAAATACTTGGGAGAAAGAACTGAACACTTTAATAAGACTGCAATATGTCATATAATGAAATACTAAATGTTGTTAATGAGTAAGTAGCCATGGTGTATAATCCTGCCATGGCAGCCTCAGACAATACTGGAGGGGACTCTGTTTCTCATAATGATATTGCAAGAGGAAGCCTGTGAAAAAGATCCCATAATAATGAAAATTGGAAAGTTTACTGCAAAAATTCAAGTATGCAGGAGAAACAAAATGTTGGGGGTAAGGCTGAGCCACAATTTGATTTCGGTGATCAGAAAAATCAGAGATAATGTTTCAGTTTTCAGCAGCTCTGTTTTTCCTCAGGACACGTGCCAGGGTTCCGACCACCAAATGGATGCTCCCAGGACTCAGGGACAGCCCTCCCCGACACAGAGGCTAGGGAGTTTGTGCTCTTTAGATCAGCAGTGCTCAGCAGGTGAGAAGGAGCAGAGGCACAAACCAGCTCATTTTAGGAACAAAACCTGGATTTTCACCCGCTGTGGTGCCGCTGCAGCGCTGGGCTGCGTGCTGCACGGGGCTGTGTCCAGCAGCCAGCCCAGGACGGGGTCCCACCCCGCGGTCCCCAGGCAGGGCTGGGGTTCTCTGGACACACTGCCCTTACCTGGGCGGCGGTGGCAGCCCGTGCTCCAGCCCAGGGACAGGGTGGCATCGGGGCAGCAGGCGGTGGTGGCGCGCAGGAAGGCGCGGGCGTCCAGCGGCGCGCGGTCCCCGCGGGGCCCCGGCACGACGTCCCCGTTCAGCCACACGGGCCGGGCCAGGCGCTGCCCCACCTGCCCCAGCAGCTCCAGGGACGGTCCCACGGCGGCCAGGCTGTGCCGGACACGTGGCAGGGTCAGGCGGGCACGGCACCGAAGTGTCAGCGCGGTGTCACCCTGAGTGTCACCGCGGTGTCACCACAGTGTCACCATAGCATCACCGCGGTGTCACCCTGAGTGTCACCGCAGTGTCACCACAGCGTCTGTCACCATAGCATCACCGCGGTGTCACCCTGAGTGTCACCACACCGTCACTGCGGTGTCACTGCAGTGTCACCACAATGTCACTGCAGTGTCACTGCAGTGTCACCACGGTGTCACCCTGAGTGTCACCGCGGTGTCACCACAGCGTCTGTCACCATAGAGTACCAAAGCATCACCACGGTGTCACCTCAGTGTCACCATAGCATCACCGCAATGTCACCGCAGTGTCACCTCAGTGTCACCCTGAGTGTCACCTCAGTGTCACCACGGTGTCACCCTGAGTGTAACCGCGGTGTCAGCACAGTGTCACCACAGTGTCACTGCGGTGTCACCTCAGTGTCACCCTGAGTGTCACTGCAGTGTCACCCTGAGTGTCACCACAGTGTCACCACAGTGTCACCACAGTGTCACCTCAGTGTCACCCTGAGTGTCACCACAGTGTCACCATAGTGTCACCCTGAGTGTCACTGCAGTGTCACCCTGAGTGTCATCACAGTGTCACCGCAGTGTCACCTCAGTGTCACCACACTGTCACCGCAGTGTCATCACAATGTCACCGCAGTGTCACCTCAGTGTCACCCTGAGTGTCACCACAGTTTCACCCTGAGTGTCACCGCAGTGTCACTGTCTGTCACCACAATGTCACTGCAGTGTCACTGCAGTGTCACCACGGTTTCACCCTGAGTGTCACCGTGGTGTCACTGTCTGTCACCACAATGTCACTGCAGTGTCACCACGATATCATCCTGTGTCACCCTGCCACCACAGGGTCACCTCAGTGTCACCACGGTGTCACCCTGAGTGTAACTGCGGTGTCACCACAGTGTCACCACAGTGTCACTGCAGTGTCACCTCAGTGTCACCCTGAGTGTCACCACAGTATCACCACAGTGTCACCCTGAGTGTAACCACAGTGTCACTGCAGTGTCACCCCAGTGTCACCACAGTGTCACCCTGAGTGTCACCACAGTGTCACTGCAGTGTCACCCTGAGTGTAACCACAGTGTCACTGCAGTGTCACCGCAGTGTCACTGCAGTGTCACCCTGAGTGTCATCACAGTGTCACCACAGTGTCACCCTGAGTGTCACCACAGTGTCACTGCAGTGTCACCCTGAGTGTAACCACAGTGTCACTGCAGTGTCACCGCAATGTCACCGCAGTGTCACCGCAATGTCACTGCTGTGTCACCGCAGTGTCACCACAATATCACCACAATATCGCTGCAGTGTCACCGCCGTGTCACCCCAGTGTCACTGCAGTGTCACCGCGGTGTCACCGCAGCCCCCGTGCGGGGCAGGGCACACCCGGTGCCCGCTGCCATCCCTGCCCGCCCCTGCAGGAGTAACACCCCCAGACCCACGACCCCGACCTTGCCACACCTCAGGCCTGAGCGGGGCCCTAGCACAGGAAGCCACTGCAGTCTCTAACACTGTGTTTCATCAGAGCTGACAGCCACAAGTGCTCTGAGCTCAGCCCAAAGTGAAACCATCCCTCCCCACCTTAGCCACGCTCCAAGTGGCAAAGATTTCCTCACTATGTCAGACCCAGACTCAAAGCTGCCTTCAGATACAAGCAAGGTGATGCACCCATACTAGGAGAATAAAAAGCCCAACTCAGACCAATATAAGGCAACCAAAAGAGAGAAAAGGCACCCACTTGGACATGTAATGCCTGGTTGTGGTTTGTCCCACAGTTCCTAAGTGTGGCAGCACACAGAAGCCTGCCTGTCCAATGATCATCTGACAGCTAATTATTAAATTGTTAAATATGAGCTGGCATCACTTGAGGAACCAGTGCAGATAGCCTGTGAGCATTTAACAAAACCTTTGGTCACATATTCCTACTGTCCTGTCCAGCCAAAAGAAAAAGCACAACTAGCTTTTTTTCTACCTCCAGCCTACCAAAACCTTTGAAGCACTGTGGAAGGAAAGGAGATGGGAAACAGTGGGGAAAAGAAATGAACACCAAGAAAATCCTCTTTCTGCCACAGCACATTAATGAATGCACTATGTAACATCAAGGAATTTAAACCAATATGGTCAGAGTATTGGAATTAGGTTAGTTCTAAACCAACAATTAGTCCCCTGTGCTGCTTGTTTCCTCTGTAAAGCCACTTTGTGCTTTTTGTCTTTTGTGCTGTTGGGAAGGCTGCACAGAGGCAGGAATTCACTCACTGGAGATGAGCTCAAGCTCTCTAGGAGAAAAGCCAGTGGTGGTTGGTGTTAAGGTGTGGGCTGCAGCGTTTCTGACATGGTCTGGGGCCAGAACACTTTATATCCTCACATATGCAAGGGACTGTCAGGGCCAGAGGAATGCTCCCCCTTGTACTGCAAAGTAAAGCTAATGCAGTGAGAAAAAAGCACAAAGCCAAGTGGCAACAGGGGAAAAAACAGAAAAAGAGATGAAAAAACCAAAGCAAGACAACAACGAAAAAAAATACAACTCCAAAAAAAAAACCACGAACCCCAGAGAGCACTGGTTTTGCTGCACAGCATTTAGAAAATTCAGACTTACTGCTGACTTAATGTGAAATGACTTTGGCATTTCTGAAGCGGGACACTGAAGACCTTTTGCAGAATATATTCATTTCAGTAGCCAAAGCCAGCAGGAAATGTAATTATTTGGTCAATCAGGCTGATAGAGCAGAGATATAAAAACTATAAAAAGTACATTTTTAAAGCACCATTGAAGTATCTCCAGAACTTCAGCAATGGCATCCAGTTAAATATTACACAAAGAAACATCAAAATCTGTTATCACTTATTTGATTCTATCCGCACTGCGTGACGTACTTTTAGATTTTTTTATATAAAAATAATTTCATAATGCCATGTAGTCTTAAAAGCTTTCTTGAATCACTCCACTTGGCTGTAAACTCCATGTGGGAAAAAAGAAAGGTAGGTAGTTTAAAATTAATTTAAACAATAATTATAATGGAGGAAAAACTTCATAACAACTCACAAGCAATAAGCCCAAACAAGTGCCTACTGGTCTTTCTTCCCTTCTCTGCCCAGAGGGACACTCACAAGATCTTGTGGCAACAAAAGGATTTAGCGTGCCCTATTTTTTACTTTCATGGACTTCCACATGAAAACCGTGACTGTGTAACACAGAACCACAGGCATAAATCACATTTTACAACTATCTCGTGGGGGGGTTTTGCATTTCTATACAGTACTTAAGCACTGATTAAACTCTTTGTAATTTGCTGCCAAAACAGACTGAGCACACTGAAATTCAGACTAAGCAAGAGTCAGGAGCTGAAGGGGGCAAGTCTGGAAATCACCGCTCATTGCAAACTCTTTCAAGGAAATCTCATGGGGTTTTCAGGTGTGTTTGCCATTTGAGAAATGAAACAGCTAACGGCTCAAACTGTGAATGAACGTTTAGTTAGTAAGGCCAGACAAAGGAGCCCTCCAGAAAGGCACCAACATTTTACCTTCCCAATGGGAAGGTTCTGCTCACAGCACCTGAGTAAAAAAAATCATTAGCTGTAGCTCAAAATACTTTTAAAGGTTTTGTTCTTGCCATGCTTTGAGAATTATGGGCTATGTTTCCACATGGACTATGCCTCTGAGTGCACCATGCTAAACTGCACAACAAGCAGGAATTTGGTTGGCAACCACCTGCAGAACTGTAACAGGTAAGAATGCAAACAACACAGCCATTTTTTTTGTTGAGATACCTCTTAAAGTCCAGCTTGATGCCTTTGTTGGTGCTGGCCATCAGCGCCAGCCACTCCTGCAGGGTGATGTCGCTGTCGGTGTCCGGGGGGTGAGCCAGGACCGGGTCCCCGTCCCCTCCCCGCAGGACAACATCCACCTCCACCATGTGCACGTCGCCTGGGGATTGGGACATTAACTCAGCTTTCAGGGTGACATCTACACCAGCCCTGCACCCCTGCTCCAGCGGGAACTGCTGCCCGTGACTGAACCCCCCAAAGATGCCGTTCTGAGGGGGTTCATCACTAAACTCTTTGCAAGACTACAGCCAAGTGAAAATTGGTGTTTGAGGGTGCTTTTGGCCAAGCAACCATGTGGGTTGGTTCGCAGGACTGGAAAAATGTACATCCAACATGCAAATCCACTGTTGTTAAATTTCAGGTCTTTTCCTCTGAAAATAGAGTTCCTGAGAGAGGACTTAATACTGGCAGATTTAATACTGGCAGACTGAGCATTCCCCTTGACTCATTGCCAAAACCGACAAGGAAAGTGTTAGCTCACACACACGGCAGGCAAAGAGGGGTCTCAGGAGCGCTCAGGCTCTTGAAAACAGCTTTATGTAATGAACCTGGGCAGCGCTGCCAGCTTTGCAGAGAGCCCAATACACACAGTGAGCACTGAAGCACGAAGAAAACAGCTAGTGATGGTATTCAGGCTATAGGATATCATATACACATTTACACAAATATGTGTTTGTCAGATATTCACATAAATTTACATACAATTCACTGCCACCCAGGCTGGCACACCAGGGCCCCTCTGGCTCTGCACAGCCCCCTGACAGGAGAGGACTCAAGAGGGGATTTGGGATGTTATCCCACGGACAGGAGCAGAGGGAACGGCCCCAGGGCAGCTCAGGGTGGAACCAGCAGGAATTTCCCCATGGAAAGGGAGCTCAGCCTGGAGGTGCCCAGGGAGGGTTGGAGTGCCCATCCCTGCAGGTGTCCCAGCAATTCCGGAGGTGCACTCGGAGCTCTGGGCTGGGGACAAGGCGGGGTCCGTGGTGTCGGAGGTCTTGTGCAGCCCGATGGACCCGCTGGTGCTGTGACAGCCACTGGCATGCATCTGTGCACATGCCTGCCACACACACAGACAACTCTGTGTGCACACACCAGTACCCAGCTGCACGTACAGGTGTGGACATTCTCACACATACAAAGTCGGGAGCTCCTCTGGTGTGAATTCCCCCCCACTGCTCTGGTGGCAGCTTTGGGGCATCCCTGAGACTGCGGATGGGCAACTGCCTCCTCTCACTCTGCCGTGAGACTGCTCATCAATTAGCTCAGATTTAAATTGCCTGCAGGCCTGATTCAAGCATGTTCGGAGGCTGCAGGTACAGGGCAGGGCAGCCCGAGGGAACGGTGATCTCGGTAGCTAACAGAGCTGTGCTGTCTCTTGGAATGAGCACAGAGGCAGACACGTAAAGACAGCACATGTGTGGGCAGAGGGACATGGAGTTTGAGGTACATACACCAGGATGTTGCTCCATGTGGAATTCGTTCTGCTGCTCCAGGTGGGATTTCCCTCTCTCATGATGTACCATCAGCATGCTGTCAGATTATGCCAGCAGAATTGGTTTTATTTTTAAATAATTGCTTGAAAGTTTGTTTTATGCTGCCGAGCTGGATATCATGCGAGCTGACACCTTGTCTGTCTCCCTGATCAGTGGATTAGTGTCGGGAGTACCTGCTCTCCAGTGTGACTCCTCCAGGCTCATCCTGCTGGCGTTTTCCACTCCCGATTCCTGGTCCTGGTGGATGTGGTGGAGTCACCCCCAGACACTTCAGCAACCTCCAAGCTCTGGGCCAGTGCTCCCAGCAGCACCAGAGACCCAGGGACCCCCAGAGAGGGTCTATTTACAAAGCAAAGTGCTCATTTCTGGCCACAACGTGGTTTTACCCATTAAAAGCACCTGTAAATGGTCTTCAGGTGTGGAGCCCCCAGCCCTCCCTGGGCGCCCTTGCAGGGGAGGCCGTGGTGCTGTGCTCCTGCTCTGCATCTCTCAGGGGTCACCCTGGCTCTAGATAACATCCCTTGTTGCCCATTTTGGGGTTTCTGGATAAAACCCACACAAAGGTAAATGCCCAATTCTGTTTGCACCCTGTGGTTTGTTGCAGGCAGACCTGACTGTCCACCTGTGGAAAACTGAAAACCTTTCCAAGAGGGCTGGAAGAGAGGCAGAGGGGCAGGTGGTGGGACACCCACGACACTCCCACACCTCCCTGACACCCAGGTGAGGGCTGCCACACCTCCACGCACCCGTACACCCCTCCTGCTGCCTGGTGGGAAGGACAGCGGCAAAGCTGGGGATGCCACCCTCTGGTGCCGCTGCAGTTTGGTGTCAGGGCGGGGCAGAAGAAACCACCAGCCTCCCTCTCTGCAGGGAAACACCGGCCCCCGAGGCACAGAGGGCAGCTCTCCAGAGGCCACAGGAGCCTGCAGCTGTGGCAGGCCCTTGCAAAAAGCCAGAGAATGACTGGGTCTCTGCCAGAGAGACCCATCCCCACCCCCATCCCCACCCCCATCCCCATCCCCATCTGCATCCCATCCCGTCCCGTCCCGTCCCGTCCCGTCCCACCTCTCTGGGCTCTGAGGAGGAGCTGTGGCTCTCGGGAGGGCAGTGACAGAGGTTGGGTGCCCAGTTTGTTGTCCAGAGCCCGTTTGCCAGGACCCACCTGATTAAGGGGTGTGAAAAACACCAATCACTTGGTTTTTAAAATTTTAAAAGTTTAATAATAATAAAATGGTTATAAAATTAGTAATACAATTAGAGTAATAAAATTTAGAGTTAGGACAATTGGAAGACAATAAAAAGCAAAGAATTATGGACGTCGATGCTCTCAGACACTGAGTCATGAAAAGCATGCCTTGTGAACAAAGGAATAGTCTTAAAAACAGCAGCCTGTTGCATATTCATATATCTCATACATGATGCATAAATTCCTTGCAAATTAAGAACTTTTCTGGTTTTTGTCAACTTCCCCTTAATCTTGATGGTTCCACAAAGATGGAAAAAAGGTGGAAGAATATTTGTTTTTCCTCATAAGGAGGCTGTAACTCTTCATGGGCCCCAAGTCACTGACACCTCTGCGTGAAGAGTTTCTTGATTATCTCATCTCTTGCTTGAGCTAGTAAAAAATATATTACATTGTAGAGTTTCTATTTTAACATTGTGTTATAACCTAAATCTGTATTTAACACACTACTTAAGAGAATTAATACAGCATAACTTTCTAACATCACACATGTAATATTCATTGTAACACTTGCAAAAAGCCAATCATAAAATGCGCATTTTTCACAACGGGGAGCCTGTCCTGCCATGGGGTGTGCGAGGACAGGTGTCCCTGTGTGTCCCCGTGTGTCCCCGTCTGTCCCCATGTGCCCGTGTGTCCCCGTGTCCCTGTCTGTCCCCGTGTGTCCCTGTGTGTCCTCGTGTCCCTGTGTCCCTTTGTGTCCCCTTGTCCCCGTGTGTCCCTTTGTGTCCCCGTGTCCCGTGTGTCTATGGGTGTCCCTTTGTTACCCGTGTTCCCGTGTGCTGCTGGCAGCAGGATCATCCCGCCCGGGCCGTGCCGTGGCTCCGTGTGCCCGTGTCCCTTTATGTCCCCATGTCCCCATGTGTCCCCGTGTCCCCGTGTGTCCCTGTGTGTCCCTGTGTGTCCCTGTATCCCTGTGTCCCCATGTCCCTGTGTGTCCCCGTGTCCCCGTGTCCCCGTGTGTCCCTGTGTGTCCCCGTGTCCCCGTGTCCCC